TCAAATGCTTTTGAGATGTCGAAAAATATGGCATCCGATATGAGTCCCTCGTCCTTGGCTTGGGTTAAGCTGTCCATAAACACGAGCATATTTGTCACGCAAGAGCGGTGAGGGAGAAATCCGTGTTGAGCTGGAGATTTCAGATTGCTGGAAGTAGGGTGATCTAAGATAGCTCGCTTCAGAATGCGATCCATCACCTTGCACGGCACGCTAGTGAGGCTTATAGGCCTATAGCTGCCAGGCGATAGTTGGCCACGAATTTTGTAGATTGGCGTGACAATCTCTTCCTTCCAAGCAGAGGGAAGGCGGCCGTCGTCAAGCGACTGACAGAACACCAGGTGTAAATTATTTGCCAGTGTGGAGGACGTTTTTTTCAGGATCCTTGGATGGTCCTCGTCGGCCCCAACGCGCAGAATGGGTTGATCTTGTGCAAGAGTTGGCGAATATCATTCGCTGTGAAGACCAAGTCAGTTGGAGGCTGTTCGTATTTTCGCCTTGACAAAAATGGATGTGACGCGGACGCTGGGGCTGAGTATAGACATGCATAGTGTTCTCTGGAAACCTCAAATAACACAGTTGGGTCTTTTGTCGGTTCTCGTTTCTGTCCCTCAAGGAGAATGCGGAGGGCTTGTTTCTGCGGCGATGTCTCATGTACTTGAACAGTACGCTTTTGTTTTTTCGAGCGAGGTCCAGAATGGTGGCTTGTTGTCGTATGTTTCATTGGCGGACTTCCGATTTAAAGCGGTTCCGCATTTTACGAAATGCCAGCTCATCTTCTGTATACCCTGTAATCAACTTTTTGAAAAAGAGTTGGGATCCTTTTTCCTGAAGTCACCGAATCCTTTTTGGCATGCTGCAGTTCATCCGAGTGCGTGCCGGTTTTCTTGGGACGAACGTCGCGTCAGCCACGTGGACTTTCTGGACAATGGTCCTATACATTTCTTCCACCGCAGCTGGTCCCAGTGTGACTTGTTCAAGGAAGATGCGCATTCCTGAGAAGTCTGCACGGCAAAAGTCCCGAAACCACGTTTGAGGTTTGGGATTTCTGGCGCAATAGCAGATGAAATCAAAGGTCAGCACACAGTGGTCGCTATGTCTCGGTGGAGCATTAATTGTTAGCTGATCAACCAAGTGTCTTTCGCTGGTGATGACCAAATCCAGGAGGGATGGTAGGTGGCCTGCGCGGTATATGATTAGTGCAACGACAGGTTGAGTCCAAGCGCTCTGTTGAACGACTTCAAACAGCGCCGCTGCGGAAAGTCCGCCTGATTCGACGCGCTGGAGTTCCATCCAGGAGGCCATTGGGGCGTTGAAGTCACCTACCAGGAGGAGATGAGTGAAGTGGTAGTTAGAGGAGAGTTTCTCAAGGGTTTGTATGAGGAATTGGCCAACTTCAGGGGGACTCGAAGGGCTACGGTAGACCACGCCAAGAGGGAGAGAATCGGACCCACGCAGCGAGATTCGGACACAGTGCATCGCAAAAGGGTGCAGGGGTGGTATCAGAGAGGACAATCGGGATTGGTGGGGCCGAATGTAAGTACAGAGCAGCCCCACCAGTCCTCCCTCGCTTTGAGTCAGCTCGAAAAACTGAGTAACTGCCTGTCGAGATCTCCGCGTCAGATACATCTGGTGTGAGCCAGGTCTCTGTGAATGCGATTAGGGACGGTTGTTCAAGGCAAGCTGACTGTTTAACATCGCCGAGTTTGTTGAAAAGGCCGAGGCAGTTTGTGGACAAACATTTCAACACTGTCTCTGCTGCCTCCGAGGGTGAGGAGCCGAAAGTTGAGTGACCAGGGTGGTCAGCAGACTTAATAGTTTAGCGCCTGCTTTGAGTTGGAGTGGTGATGTCGTCTGCTTCCTGTCCTCGTGGTCTTTTGGGGTGCCTTTCTCTTGGGAAGTTGTTTTCGTTCCGTGGGACCCCGGTTTGCTCGGGACTTTTGGCTTTAAGGGATGAAGTCTTTTTCCCCATGGACGAAAATTTCGGCCGATATTGTTTGTAGCTCTTTCAGCACCCCCATTTGGGCGTCCAGATTTGCTGTTGATCGAAGAGTTGCGGCAAGATTTCGTCTTCCTGGACTCTTGGATATTTTGGCGCGGTTTGGCCGGGAAAGTGCCTCTGTGTGGCCCTGGGCGCTGGGCGGCGGCACCAAGAAGTAATGATTTTGGTGGCGCTCTCAAGAGGCCCGTTTTCGCGGAGGACTGCACCTTGAAGCCAGCCAGCAGTATTCTAATCTGGCGATTTTTATGTGGCTTGTTTGGCTGCAGTCGCTCTGCTTTCGTGTTTGTGTTGACACCCGATCCACCAGCGATCAGCGTGGCCAACTGGATGTACGAGGGATTTTCCGGATGGCTGTAGTCATGTTTATGGCTTTGGTTGTCGGGGTCATGGGCAACGGTTGTGTCCACAAGCAGAGCGGCCGCTTTTGGCGGAGTGGAGCTGGAGATTGGCTTCTCTTCTTGTCCCCGCACATCTGACACAGTCCAGTTCAGAGGCTGTGACCTTGCTGAGTAGTGCACGGCTGCAGCTGTCCTCTGATATGGAGATAAGCGTTGATAGCTCCATGTAGTTTGGGCGCTGCATGCATGTGGGGTTTGCCTCCTCCAGGGCGTCCCTGCCTTTTGTGGACTAGAGGCCTGTGGCGGTCGAATAAAAACTTCTGTCCGGAGACGCAGCTGGTTTCGTCGGCCTGTCTTCGGGAGCACAGGGGGATATGACCGCAATCGGCTTGGTTATGAGTTTGGGGTCGGCTGAATTGGTACCCGGTGGAAGCCTGTTTCGTGCTTCCCCCTGACCTCCTATGACCAAACTTACGCGCGTCTAGAGGACGATCCTCAGACAGGCGCCTGATTATTGGGTTGGCATTTTGAATGCTGCCAGCCCGCTTCAAGATATCCTGTGCGTCAGATGGGGATGAAAGAATGACTAGAAGTCCAAGAGTTCGCTTACATCCCTTCTGGCGTAGCCATTCTGCGTGGAGCGATTTATCGGCCTTGGTGAGGATGTAAGGTTTCTATAGCCGCATCAGAAAGTTCTATGACTTTCTTCGCAGCCATTGGTCCCGGTATGGGTATCGCGAGGTATTGGTTCAGCGAAGAAAGTTCCTTGTCAATTTCGTCCAGGTCGCTGCATTCTTAGCGCCTGACTCATCCAGTGCCTTTGAAAGACGCTCTAATTTTGCGTCGAGTATCCCGATTAAAGCGGAACACTGATAGCGGTCTTTCTGAATCTGCACTGGGGATTGGGTACCGTTTTGGGGGACTCTCCTCTTCGCTGCGGTATGCATTGCATCCCTGACGTAGAGGCAGCTGGCGCGGACAAATGGGTTAGCAGAGCTAGCTAGTCGGCTCATCTGGTCGTCCTGTAAAACCGTGCATTTGAAATGCCACCAGGCCTTGCAGGTGTGGCATTGCATCCCGCGTTTGACGTTCGACGGGCAGCCATTTCGCCCACATCTGTTGTGGTCTATCAATGCCTGGAGAGGACCGCTGGCTAGCCGTTGCACGGAGGCCAGTGATGATGGAAATATGGACCAAATGGCTGACGATATAGCAATCTCCAATGAATTCTGGTTGCACGTGTACCGTCTAGCTGCTTTATTTCCAATTCTGTCCTCATGGACATAAACACATACACGGAGCCTTGCACACTTTTCTGTTTAAGGTTTACGATACTGTGGTGTTTCGTACCTTTATTTTGCTTCCATTATACGTTAACGTATTTTGTCAATTGCACAACCGTCTTTCAATACGAAAATCTACAAAAACGTGCACTTGTAGAATTTCACGAAATACAAACGTGGTCACGTTTGTTCGACCCTCTCCCTGATTTCGCTCGCACTTACAGCGGTCATTCGCAAGTCTCAGATGCTAATTCCGGTATCGAAACATTTCAGAATATCTTCGGAATCTTTTTTATGTGGGAACAGTTCAGAAGAAGACCCATGGATAATCGTGATTGGATTATTGTTTTTTCGCTGACCTGGGCCGGCGACGAACTATTTTAATGAGAACAATTATTAGTGTGCTTGTTCCATTTGACCGCTTTACTATTGTATACCGAACCTAGCGTTATTATTTTATTTTTTTTGCCACACGCTCCTGGTAAAGCATCTTGCTGGGTAACCAAACTACTACAAATCTGGTAAGCCTGAATCTTTCTAGATGTTTTGTCAAAACTTTTCCTTTCAAGTCGTCGTATTTTTTCTTTTGCTAGGTCATTATGGATGCACAATGTGAGACTTAAGTTTCTCACGTATATTGGAATATCCAGAGTAACTAGAAATCCAGAACTCAGGTCAGGGTAACAAGTAGCAAGTACGTATTCGAATTGGGGTATACGTACAGCATATGGAATATTAAAACAAGAGAATAATGAATAGAGCAATGAATAGAGTACCAAACATGTTCGCAC